AGAATTTTCCTGTAACAATAGTTTCCACTCGAGCATAAAGATGGCACCTTATCACGCTTTGTATGGACAGAAGTGTCGTACGCCGTCTTGTTGGCTTGAAGCTGGAGAAAAGCAGTTTATGGGACCTGAGATAGTCCATCAGACTGCTGAAAAGTTGAAAGCGATTAGGGAAAGGATGTTAGCAGCTCAGGATCGTCAAAAGAGCTATGCTGACAAGAAAAGAAAACCGATAACATTCGAAGTTGGTGATTCGGTTTTGCTTAAAGTCTCGCCGTGGAAGAGACTTATAAGATTTGGTAAAAGGGGAAAGTTGATTCCAAGGTTTATTGGACCATTTAAAGTTCTTCAGAGAATTAGGAATCGACCTTACAAGCTAGAACTACCAGAAGAACTAGATGGTATTCATAACACTTTCCATGTGTGTTATTTAAGGAAGTTCACGGGAGATGTTCCCGACATAATTCCAATATCTGAGTTAAGGCTGGATGAAAGCAAGAGGTTAATCGAAGAACCAGAGACAATCGTTGACCGTAAGACTAAAAAGTTGCGATGCAAGATGGTCGATTTAGTGCTTGTGCAATGGAAACATACGAATGGGCCAAATCTCACCTGGGAAACGGGGAGTGACATGATGAGTCCCTACCCGCATTTGTTTGCTGATGTGTGATTCCGGGTACGGAATAATCCTAAGGGGGAGAGAATTGTAACGCCTGTGTTTCTGGGCAAAAAGCATTAATAATGTTGTAATAGGCTAGGTCAACCTTTGTAACTCATTTTGAAGTAATAAAGAGGAATTATGTGAATATCATGTGAAATATATGCTTATTTACTTAATTATTATGATTTAATTAATTAATAATGAAAATAAGCATTGAAACTAAATATTAGAAAAAGACGATGTCTTTTAAGAAAGTTGTAGTGGCCGAAACAAGGATTCCAGAGATATAAAGAACCCCGAAATCTAAGTTATAACAAAGAAGTTATGACCCGTCGAAGGTTCGCGACGGAACTGGCACGACACCGGGAAGCGTAAAAAGTGAATATTATGATAAAGTGCTTTTTAGCCTTAACAATCTAAACAAAATTCATAGTAGTTGTTAAACCGAGAATTTTGATAAAAAGAACGTCCAAATTTGACTTCGTATGAGGAAGTTATGATTTTTCTAAGTTTTAGCTTAGCAGTAGACAACTAAATACTTGAATTTAAGATCGAGCGATATTTAGCCGACACAACCTAAACGAGAATCGAAGGTCTCGTCCATAGTAGTACAACGGTAAAAAGACTGTCGAAAACGGACGTCGGATGAAGAAGTTATGAATTTTTAATGGATTTTCCTGTCCCGGTCTGTTAAAAATAATAATATTAAAATTAAATTCAAAATTAGCCGACGAAGTCTAAATGAAAGTTGTAGAGCGTAATTTTAGCTACGCGTGCATATAAGGAACGTCAAAAACGGAGCTCGTATGCGAAAGTTATGAAGTTTAGAAGTTTTAGGTGCAAAATCCGAGGAATTTTGCATGCATGGCTCGGATTTGGCCACGTACGAGCCTCGCATGCATGACACGTGTCGGATTGTAATACGACTGAAGGGAGGTCCAGCTGAGATCAAGCGCGTGTCGCATCCGTGGAAGAGTGTGAAGCAGCCACGTCTCGCCTACCAGCCTCAGACGCGCCCTTCGCATCCGAACCACGTCCGAGCCTCGTAGTCGCCTCCGTGTCTTGCCCTCGCTGCTGCCACGCGCCTCGCCCCTTCGCTGCCACATCCTCCCTCCGTGTCCGATCTTCTCAAGCACTACGTGGATCTTTCTCAGCCACGAAGCCCTTGGTCTAGCACCCGGTTTCTCAATAAAACTCACGGTTTTATCAAAAACGATCATTTTAAGGAACGAATTGCTGCCCGATTATCATCAAATCAAGTGAGTGTATAGTCACTTTCATCTTACATATAGATATGAAGTAGTTTCTATAAAATACGTGTTATGTGTAATTATATTGATTGTTTATTTGAGATGATTGTTGAATACAATGTTTTATACAAGTTATAAACTGTATATGTATTTTACCTACAAATATGTTGGGTAAAACATGGGTAGACGAAATAGTTGATGTGTGTTAAAATGATGAGAGGCCTCGATGTTGTTGTTGTTCCAGTCATCTAGCGGAGTATGGATGACGACCACAGACTTTTCTAGACAGTCTAGTGGAACGCTAGCAGGCTCGCAACCTGTAGGTGTTTGTGGGCTTGATGTTCACCGGTGTACTCCATCCCCCTCATGGTTGCCTTACGGACATATATGGCTGAGGAATACCCTTAGCCGTAAAGTCCATCCCGATGATAAAATACTTAGGCTAGGTCCCTTGTATAGGTGTTTGGGGACGTAAAGTGAGGATAACGGGAATGGGTAATCAGGGTTATTGTTGGTTTGATGAAATTAATAAATTTATTGTTGATCGATGAAATTAATAAATTTATTATTATTTGTGGGTTGAAAATCCTATATGCTCACCAGGCTCTCAAGCCTGACCCACTCAGCTTTCTATTTTACAGGTAGTGGACCCAGAGCATAATTTGGATGATGATGAGGGACTTTTGGATTATAGGCCATTAGTTGTAAATAACTGTTGTAAGGCTTATAATGTACTGTTTATGCTTTTGATCTGTATCAAATATGACATCCCGAGTCTTTTTAATGAAATACATTTCTACGGAAATGCTTTGATAAATCTTTATCATATTTTTATTTTGGGAACAAATTCCGCAACACTTTTATGTAAAATATTACTCTGATTTTCAAACAAGCATAAACAAAACCGGTCTTTTCTGGCCGTGAAATTGGGGATGTCACATTATACTTGAAATATTTTATGTAATTCTGAATCATTGAAAAGTTTCAATGAATAACATAACAAATAAGAAGAATCAATGAAGCAGAAAGATAAAAGGTTTCTCAAATCTAAGAAGAAGGGAGAGTACTTTTGTATCAGATTTTGTGATCATCTTAATGATTAAGAATCATATCACAATTGTTACTCTAAGGACATCTTAGTGCACTAGTATGGCTAAGAAGAGGAATCGAAATTGTTAAATGGTTAAATAAAAAGGATGAGTCATACTTCTTTCCAAAATCAAGTCTTAGAATCGTACTCCAAGATTGTGAATTGAGTGACACACACTCATCAAATGTGAAGTAGAAAATTGTTTTTCTTACTCTTGCACGTTTGAAATTGGTAAGTTGTGATGTCTTGGAGAAGACAAAGACCAACTAAGACCAAATGTGTGTAATGTTTTGTCTTGATATAGACACACACTAACTCTTGGATATTTTTTTTATCAAGAAATGTTTTGTGATAAGAGAATCTAATATGTCAAGACGTCAGTGGGAGTCTGACGATCTTGAAAATATTCAAGAACTAATCAAGAGTAAACACTAGCACACGACTTGAGATTTGTAACCTATTGTGTTGACAAAATTCTATTTCTGTGCCAACCATTTTGAGCGATTATGCATATGATTTATACGAGTTCTTAATAGACTGCATAAGGCAATCACCTTGTTCGATGAAAGTACATTGACTGGCATAGGTAAGCTGCTAGATAACTTGGAAGCAATGGTGTGACCCTTGATGGCAAGAAATTAAGAATGACCAAGTTCTATCCATAAGATTTTGAATTTGTCACAACCATTATCTTTCAATTATGGTTATGGAAAATTCACATGGATAGGAGCACATACACCATGAAATCTAAGTGTCATAAGGCTTCTCTCCTTCATGAAAATGATTGTGAGGAAACGCTTTCACTAAGACAGATTTTAAGAAGATAGCGATTATGTAAATTGCATTCTTAAATTCGATTATGATTACGACATCTCTTTTCATAGTTCGAATTGTGAGATTTAGCAATTAGTCTGAACATTTGGGACTTAGTAATATAAGTTTAGAATTAGTTTAGACACACGTGTGAGCTTTCTAAGGAAGCTTATATAAAGGCTTATCGAAGCACATCGTATTGGAAATATAAACTTTGGAAGTCAATAAGTATTGTCTTCTAGAAGCCCAACTGTTTTCTTAATACATGTCAAATCTAGTGGGAGCATAAATGTTATTCTGGAATGGATATAATCATCATATTAGTGGGAGCATGATTATTATTTAAGTATTGCAAGTTAGTAATATTAATTATAGAAAAACAAAAGTTTCACTTTGCAAAGTTGCAGGGGTTGAAAAGTTGTTTATGCTATAATTAAGGGACAGGATGTTATACTTCGTTTCCAATCTAAAAGCTTAGATCAAGAAATTTTAATTGTATTTTGTCAAGGGTATATTTATTATTTGCATTCTCAAAATACGATTATGATTACAACATCCGTCTTCATAGTTCGAAATTTGAGAACACGGCGAATAGAAATATTATGACGATATTATAGTAAGAAACTGGTAAAGTATCACGTTTTTTTATTATGAATTGTATCTCATACGCTTCAGGTATAGGATCAATTGCATACGCTGTAATATTCAACCGTTCTAAAATTTTCCAAATGCCTAGTGCATTTACAGGGGAAAAGGAAATAGAACCGGTTTTGACTTAAATAATTAAACAACTATTAAGGACGATCTAAGGTTTGCCAATGATTGGTTGCTTATGGACAGTTGGAAGTATAGTCATAGATGGATCATATTGACATTATGAATAGATAAGATTCTATTTAATGAGTTGTCATATGGCAAATATGGAAATGTTTCCTTATCGAGAGTTAGATGTTAAGAATCTATATATAGATTAGAATCTTCTATGCAAGAAGGATGTTCAAAGGAATGTACTTTGAATGTGAGACTTCATGACTATGGAATTGTCTTGTAACAATCTCCAATAGAGCACTTTGTAATTTCATTGGCAAAGTCTTGGTGGCTTTGGCGTTGTGATATTATGAAAGGACCGTTGTATAAAATGTTAGAATCTAACATATTCTAGTAGTTGCGAGAACTTTGTACTCTTACACTAATGAATTAGGAATTGTGAAATGATATGGGTGGCGTTGCGGAGGACGTCGGTGGGAGTTGCTAAGTAAGTCGGAAGTTCATATCCGGCCATAATCACCACGATTTTTGGACTGACATCTGCTTCATTAGCAGCTTCGTACATCCTCTTCAGAGATCCACCACCACCTTCCAAATTTCGATCACCACCGGCAGCCAATCGCCGGTTCCGATCAGTATATATCACCATCAACAACGCCACCATTATCAGAACAAGAAGCAAGGTTATCCCACCAAATATATATATCAACGGCGAATCAAACGTCCAAAACGGCGGCCGTGGTTTAATTGTGTCCATTATGATCACGCTATGTGTGTTTTTGGTTTGAAATGTATAGGTTTCTTCGTGTGAATTATGAAATGTGTGTTGTTGTTATCTATTTCTAATGAACAAAGTAAAAGTCTGAAAACAAAAGGGTTGGGTTCTTTTTCCAAAAATAGGTAAAATACAGAGACGATATTAATGTGTAGAATACCTTTAAGAATTGGTAGTTGTGCTTATTACAAAGTGAAAGGTTGGTGAAAACTTTCAAAAGACTCTTCAAATGTGGATTGTTGGTTTTAAAACGTTGCAACTTTGATCCTTTTTAACATTCTGTTAGTAAACATAGGTTAAGTATATGTCAAGTGACCACTTTATCCCTTTATCAAACCCACTTGTTTTTCCCAACGAACTCAGTTCAAATTATAGTTTTTACGCCTATTACAAATATAGAAAAAAGAACGAGATACAATATCATCAAAAATCTCTTACTTCTAAGGCTTTGCCAATCTAAAAAGCTAATTGTTAGGAAAATTCCAAAAATATAGAAACTGTAACAATCTCCACATCAAAACACTTGATTCACAAAGTTTTGAAAGAAGAGTTATCGTTCCATTGAATTAGACTAGCATGCAAAATATGCTAGGTGTGTCAAGACCCCACTACCGAGTAATGATAAATCAAATTACTATATAAACAAATTTTGTGGGAGACCAATGTAATATATGAGTTTATTTTTTTTAAAAATATTAAATATGAAATTTTAATAATTTGAGAAATTTGAATTTATAAGATAAAAATAAGAAAAATTTTGAATTTTTAAAATTAATAAGATTTTAATATACTGATACAGTACATATATAAACCCTTTCTAATAAATACCTTACATATTAAATATGAAATTTTGATTTAATATAATGAAAAAATACAATAAAATGACAACTGAAAATTTAAAATTTAAAAATTCTGAAAAATGTCATACGTCTAAATTAATAAGAATACGACATGTGTCAAAAAAATTTGGTTTATTAGGAGGATATATTTATTTAGGATATCAATAATATACGTCTGAAAATAACATTTTATTAATGAGTATAAAATAGGATGGGCAAAATACCCGAAAAAACAAAACCAAATGTGCAAATCAGTGTGGTTCATGGTTCCATATTTTCATGAAAATCCAGTCCTTAATCCCATGTGTTTTGTTTTTATTGTTATTATTTGGAGCCAAAAGTTTTTTTTTTTTTTTTTTTTTTTTGCCAAACTTTGAATAACCACGATTTGCTCATACTAGCAACGAATGACATGATTTTTTTAGATTATAGTTCTCTGTGTTTGTTACATTTTATGCTTTAAATCACCTTAATTGGTTACGAATTGGTCGATTTTTTAACAGCCCCGAAAATAGCATTGTACTTTTGGTTCAATTAGTTCTAAATCCGAATTCACTGTTCGAAATCAAAATTGCACCCTCCTATACGGTTTGATTCTTAGTTCTTAGCAATCTTAGTTTTTGGTTTTGGTTTTTCGATTTCGATTCAGTTCATCCGATTTGGAGACCAATTTAATTTCTAGCAAAAAATAAATTATATATTATATTTAAATGAAAAAAAAAGTTTACCTATCTACAAAAGTATTTTGTGGTTAAAAGGACTTAGGAGCACAATTTAAAAGGGTGACACTTATATATATATATATATATATATATATATATATATATATATATATATATATATATATATATATATATATATATATATATATACAGAGAGAGAGAGAGTTAGGTTCAATTATTCTAACTAATATGATATATATATATATATATATATATATATATATATATATATATATATATATATATATATATATACAGAGAGAGAGAGAAAGAGCTAGGTTCAAGTATTCTAACTAATTATTGTGCGGATATCGTATACTATAGAATTACTAAAAGAATAAGTTATTTATCAATACGAATATATTTCTTTCAAACATCAGCAGACTATATATACTGTAGTTACAAATAAAAAATAATATAAGATGAAGATAATGATGAAATTCCAAAAAATCTTAAAAGTAAATCAAGTTATTAGTTTAAATTTTAAAACTTTCGACGATTAAAATGCATATGTGATAAAAAAAACCACTTGGTATGATGAGTTTGTGTATCTAAACTTAAATACCTATATATATATATATATATATATATATATATATATATATATATATATATATATATATATATATATATATATATATATATATATATATATATATGGTAAAGTGAATATAACTAACAACCTTATATAAGCTTAGATACCTAACCTCATCAAACTACGTGATTTTGTATTAAATTTTCATTGCAATCATCCAAGGTTCTTAAAGTTCATCCATAAACTTGATTTACTTCAAAAAAATTTGGAAATTCATCATTATATTTCTCCTACATCCTTTCATTTGTAGCGGTAGGATATGAAGCCCATCAGGTGATATTCGCTAGAAAGACGTAATGTAAAAGGAAGATATTGTTCAAAATCCAAAGATTTTGGAAGTAATCAAGTTATAGGGTTGAAGTTTAAGAACCTTAGGCAATTACAATGTAAATATGATACAAACCAATGTAGTATTATGGAGTTAGGTACGTAAGCTTATATAAGGTTGTTAGATATATATTCACTTTACCCTATATATATATATATATATATATATATATATATATATATATATATATATATATATATATATATATATATATATATATATATATATATATATACACCAAATGGAAGTAAAAGCTTATATGTTTGACTGTTATATTTTCATTTATTTCTGATACAGTTGGAACACTATCTGTTTTTCAAACCATGCTATTGAAAGTTAACAGATTGTGGATGTATTTATTAATCGTAGTAAATGTACGGTGGTTATTATAATGTTAATTAATAGAACTATATTGTTTGCTGTTGTGGTGAAAATGACGACATAGTGACTATGTTCCCTTTTGGTCAATTTGAATTGTCATAAAGGTTGATATCTTAAAAATGACAACTGTTGACAACTGTTTTTCAATCGCATAATGTTTTTTGGTATTTTAATACTTATGTTAAATTAACGATTTATTTTTATAAAATAAAAGGTAAATATCATAAAACTCACTAAGTTTATATAAAAATTCGATTTTGACATTGTGTTATTTTTTATTTCAAATTAAACAACATATTTCAAATTTGTTACAATTTTGACCACTTGATCGGTCAATCCGGTTGTCTACTGATGTACATGATGATGTATCAGTTTGTATGAAGCAGCATGTTGACGTGTCAAAATTGAAAAAAAATTACACAAAAAAAAATATTTTATTTTTTCTCAATCTGACACTCTATTTTTTTATACAAATCGAACAACTTATTTTTTCTAATTTTGTTCATTGTTAACCATTTTTCATTTGAAACCGTATAATTTTTTTTTTTCATTTAAAGACCATATCTTTTTTTTTTTTTTTTTTTTTTTGTATAAATACAAAGTTGTGTACATTCAACCTATAATGTTATGTATAAATATGTATTAGTTCAATTATACTTTTATTTTTCATTAAATACACAACTTTAAAATAAGTTTGGATGTGTGGAATGAATAATCAGGTAAGCTATTGTGATATCGGAAACACGAATGTCCAGGGGTGGCTTTAGTTACAACAAACGGTCCCTTGGTAATTTAAGCGACCCCCTTACGTTCGTATTCCCGAGATAACATTAGCTTATCTGACTATATATTTAACACATCAAAACTCATTTTAAAGTTTTGTATTGAATAAAAAATATGGTTATAATATAACTAAAACATATTTAATGAAAAATACGCTTATAATATAAATGATAAATATTTATACAAAACCTTGTATTTATATAAAAAAAAATATGTTTTTTAAATGAAAAAAAAATATTTATACAATTTCAAATGTAAAAAAAAAATATTTATACAGTTTCAAATAAAAAATGATCAACATTGAACAATACTGGAAAAAATAATATTTAGTTTGGAACAAAAAAAATGGAGTGTCAAACTGAACATTGTTGTAATAAATTGGAATACACAAAAACTCTAATGAGTATACTCAACATGGTAAAACAACTAAATGCACAAAACCCTAATGAGTATTTTCACAATCTAACATAGTATCGAGCTAGGTCAGTGATACTGAGATCGTATTTTTTTCGGCTACTCTCTGTTACCGCTAATTTCCAATATCACTTCCACCGTACCAGATCTCCACCACCATCTCTATTCGTCTCGGTTCGTAGACTCCACTCGAGACTCATTGCGTGCATGTCATAGCCCTCATTTTGAACTCGTTGTGCCCTCAAATCGATTGCCTCATGTCTTAGCTGTTTCACTATTATCACCATTTCTTCTTCCTGGTGCTAATCGTAAGAGGTCATCCACCTTCTATTTCTGATTCAACATAGATGCCACCGTCGTGTGACATCTTTATTGAGATTGATAGTTTATACAACTACAATTTGTCTACCCGCAATAAGCATTCTATTATTATCTCATTTTTTTTCATTTGCTTTTTATATTTTTTGGAATCATGTCAACCATGTCCTTATCCTCCACCACCACACTGAATGTTCAAACTCTTGTATATACCATCACTAACGTGTACAATTAGTTCAGTTTCAAAATTGACTGTAGATGAGTCTAAATACAAACTGTGACGACACATATTCACTAACATTTTAAGGGTTCCAAAGTTGTTGGTCATATTACTAAGAAATCTAAACCAATAGGTAACGGAGAGGAAGATTGGGACTCCATTGATTCTTCTCGTGTTAATTTCTTACAAATTTTTGGGCATTTAGAGTAAGTCATTTAGTTGGAATAAAACTACTAACTATGAGTTAGAGTAAAACACACACAACCTTGACTACCTTGAAAACAAAGCCATGAGCTCTTCACCTTGTGAAGAGCTTGTTTGTTGTCTTTAATCTTACACTCCATACATGTCATAAGAAGAACATCCTTTATTTAGTGATTGC